CCCCCCCTCAACAACCAAGGCCTCCAATATAATATATAAGAAAATCAATCAATTGATAATTAAATAAGGAATCCTTAGCTAGCTACCTCTGGAGCTACTCTGGCAATATTAAAATAAAAGGAATTAAGAAACCTAACTTTGAAGACATCTGGAATATTAATTAGAATAAAAGGGAATGAATCAATGGACAAAGAACAAAGAACTAACTTTTTAAATTTCAATGGAAAGCATCAAATCTCAATGGAAATCTTCAACTGTTTAATAGAAATCTCCATCCAAAAGCCTCCTAAAGCATCAAACCTCAATGGAAATCTACAAATTTTGAATAGACATCTCCATCCAAAAGCCTCCAAAAGCATCAAATCTCAATGGAATCTCAGAATTTCTAATAGAAATCTCCATCCAAAAGCCTCCAAAAGCATCAAATCTCAATGGAAATCTACAAAGTTTTAATAGAAATCTCCATCCAAAAGCCTCCTAAAGCATCAAACCTCAATGGACATCTACAAATTTTGAATAGACATCTCAATCCAAAAGCCTCCAAAAGCATCAAATCTCAATGGAAATCTCCAACTGTTTAATAGAAATCTCCATCAAAAGGCATCCAATCTCAATGGAAATCTCCAAAATTTCAATGGACATCTGAAGCAGCAACAGCGACAAGCAGCAACAGCATTGGAAGGGGGGTTTGAGAGATGTTCAATGAGTTGTAGCACTTTAGAATCTGGAATATTGAAGCCTTTGAGCCTTGCCTTCCAGCTTCAACCCCCCCCCACTTGCTTGCAGGAAACACAGTGGTGGAGATGTTGAAGAAAAGTCCTTTTAAGAAGGAAGAAAAGGCTTCAAAGAAAGGTTGAAGAAGAGTTGAAGAAAGCTTGGAGGGGTGTCATTTCTAGATTGCAAAAAGCTTGAAGAAAGCTTGAAGCGCACCCTTAGTTTGAGCTTGGGTGTCCAAAAAGGTTCTAGGTTTGGCAGCTTGAAGGAATACTTTGTTAGAAGGGGTTGGAGTCCTGGGTTGGAGCTTGCAGTTTGAAGGGCTTTGCAAGGGTGCACTTTGAAGCACTTTGAAGTTTCTTTTTGAGGGAGTTGCAACTTGCAGCATTCAGTTGAAGTCTGTTTTGCAAGGGTTTGCAGCTTGAAGAATGGATTTGGAGGGGTTTGCAGCTTGCAGCATTCAGTTGAAGCTTGCAGCAACAGCAGCTTTCAGCTTTTCAAGTGGGCCTTGCAGCGCGTGACTTTCAGCCTGGGATTTGCAGCACCTTGAATGACACTGGCACAGCTTTCATTTTGAGGTTTGTTTAAGTCCCAAGTGTTCTTAAAGATATGTTTCATCAGTTCAATGCATTGGGCACCTTGTTCAGGCCATGGCTTTCAGCAGCTTCTTGGAGAAGATCTTTGGCTGCTTGGAGTGGGCCTTGGAGATGCTTGGGTGGCTTCTAGGCCACCTTGCAGTGGTCTTGACAGCTTGGCTGGTTGGAGTTGGAAGCTTGGAAAGAAATCAGCAACTTTTTTCTTTAAAGCTTGGAGATTGGCTTGCAGCTTGGAGACAACTATTTCTAGTCTCAAAGAATGTTTAAAAGCTGTGAAGGCATTGGCCACTTCCAGCTCCTGACACCTTTTGCAGACTGGACTGGCTTTGCAGGGGCTTTGCAGGTGTCTTTGCAGATTGAAGCTGGGTTATATTCTAGTAAGTCTTCTATTTGCAGCTGCCAGGATAGCTTAGACTCTTTGAGCTGTGGTCATTTGATTGATAGTGTTTTAAAGTGTTTTGCATTGAAAGCGCACTTGAAAGGGTCCTATTTTGAGCTCATCTCAGGTGCAAGCCTTTGCAGTGTGCTTTGGTGTCTTCAAGCTGGTTCAAGGGTCTGCCACTTTGAAGTCCTGCTTGGAGAACCTTGAAGGGACCTTGGAGTGGGTGGAGAGCATTTCAGCAGATTGCAGATACATTGGAGAGAAGGTCTGCTACATTGAATGCAGCATCTCAAATGGGTTGTCAGTATCATTTTGTAGGTAGTTTGTTTTTTTCCTGCACTTCTTTTTTGAGCTTTCAGTCCTACAACAATTCATTAAGGACAGGATTCTGCATCAGGCAAGTGCCAGGACTCCATAAGGCACTTGCAGCAACACCTCTTGGAGTTTGACCCCAGCAGCTTGTTTTTTATCAAACAGCTTTGTGTTTTGAAGCTTTGAGTTTGCAGCAGAGTCTCAAGATGTTCTTTTTAATGTTCTAGTTGTAGTTATATTTTGTTTAGGCTTTGCAGACATGTTTTCCTTTGCAGTTTGATGCTTCATGTTTCATTGCAACTAAGCGCGTGGTGGTGCCCAGCTCTTCAAGAGTGGCATGCTGGATTACAGACCTCCTTTCAATGGCAGCTCCTGTGAGGCCTACATGAATCTTTGGCTTTCTTAGTTGAAGTTCTTTTCTATTTTGGAAGTTTTCTATGTTTTGAAGTTTTCTATTTTAGTTTCATTTTGTATTTTTTTTGAAGCTCTTGTTATTTTAAAGCCAAGGGCTGAGTGGGACTTGATGGTCTGGGAGACCTGCACTGGCTTGCAGAACGACATCTTTTACAGGAAGTTCCAGCATGCATCTTGGAGGTATTTAATTTGTGTTGCAGTTTTTCATTCCCAGTGGTTCCATTGATTTTTTGTGTTTGAAGTTGTATTTATATAATGGTTTCCATCCCCAATCCATAGTTTCAGAGATTCTTTCAGCCATAACCAGGCCAGTGTTGGAGAGGAGCAGCCCATTTCAGAGCAGGAGCAAGACTTGAAGGTCCTGGAGAACACTTGCAGGCCAGAGATCTTGCAAGTGCGCTTTTTTCCAGAACCTTGTTTGGCATTTGTAATTTTTCTGCTTTTTTATTCTGTGGCTTGGCCCTTCATTGAGTTAATTTGATTGAGAGTTTTCTTTTGTGAGTTTACTTGATTGAGAGCAGCCTCATTTCAGGACAAGGCAGTTCAAGAGCTTCAGGCCACTTGCAGCCCCTGGTCAGCACTTCCAGAGATCACCAATTACAGGCTGACCAGATTGGAGGATGCCAAGAGACTTGGAATTTGAAACTTTCAAGTTTTCTTTTTGAAGTCCTCAAGATTGAGTTCATTTGAGTTCATGATTTCATTTGGGTTCATGGTTTCATTTGAGTTCAAGATTTCATTTGACTAAGGGC